AATAAGGAACCACTATCTCTGGCTCTCCCACAAAAGTACATACCTGCATAGGGAAATTAATGGTACTTATGTTGTTTCTAAAATGGACCAAAAATAGTGGTTCCTTGTTGCCAAATGTAATCGATATGATCTTCAAAATACTGTAAAAAGCATTTGGAAGGATAATCGATCATCATTTTTTATAAAAAAAAAGACAGAACGATACCAATAAAAATGCCACCGCTCTCACGTGATTCATCGTAACAAGACTTATTTTCTACGCAGTATTTATGACAGGACCTACAATTCCTCCTCTCCAACCGTTCCTTCCTTCACTGCATCTCACCTTCTCACAGCACACAGTATCACGGTAGCCCAATTCATCAACGCCAAAGTGGGCGTCTCTAAATGCTCGTATCCGAGTAACGCAATAGGGGGCCCCCAACAATTAATGATAGGCCAGCGGTGCTGCACTAATTTTATATTTGGTAAGTCATTCCGCTTCAACAAAGCGCTATCTTAACAATCGCTCGATGGAAATCAAAACTAGGTCCATTTGGCCCTTTTACTTTTACTTTTGGGCGCTGCGCACACGCGAGGATGATGCCGATAAAATTAATTACGTACAATTCTGAATTGAGTGTTCTCGAGCGGAAGTTATATTACTGTTCTTCCTGAACTTTTTAAAAGAGAAGTGATCTCTCGATATGATTGTCGGAAATGTTAAGAATTTGTAGGTATTTAGCCAAGTTAATACATATTGCAACAAGTCTAAATGGTTCAAAGTCTGAAAAAAACAAATACCTAATAATTACACGTGACACGGCTCATGAATGAGTCTTTAGAAATGCAAAATTGAAATATCGTAAGCCTTTAGAAAATAATAAAACATTCGTACACTATAGGCAAAATAATTTTAACTACATATTCTGGGAGGCAAAAAATTGTTACTACGTTTTGAAAACTATCGAATCATTCCCATCAAAATGCAAAAATTTAGAGTGGATACCTCGAAGATAAAAAAAGCACCAAAATTGCGGATTACATGCACTGCGGAGTAATTTTAATCGCTTCAATAACATTACAAAATGTCACTGTTGAATATGAACGTCCATCACTCTTCGGTTTTTATCCAGAGATTGAGGCAAACAGAACCCAGTTCACTTCAAAGTTGCTCATCTCTTAGAAAAATCTTGAATAGTCCTCCTGAAAAGTAGTAGTTGTCAGGGCCGGATTTACCATAACTTGCCGCCCATGGACCGCCTGTATTTTGCCGCCCCTTATCATTCGTTTTGAAACATCAATAAAAACCATTAAGTGAACGTGTCAAAGAGAGAGGGGTGCTTTAGACGCGTTCATTCTTGTTGGACACATTATTTGCGAAAACCCTGTCAACACTACTAGCAAAAGTTAAGTTCCGTATACCTTTCTCTGTGTGGACGAGGCTTTCCATTTAAAGAAATGAACGAAAAAATTATGAAAGAACAAACATAAATGTGATTTAATAATTTTAACTTCCGCCGCCGCGCCGCGCTGACCGCAATGGGTTTGGCGCAATTCGTAAAGTATTCCTACAGTCTTGTAGGGTAGGCGCTTTGCGTTTCACGCGGACCGCTGTTGACCGCACTGTATTTGACGCAATGCGTGAAGTATTCAGGCAGTCTTGTAGGCGCTATGCGTTTCACGCTGACCGCACTGTGTTTGACGCGATGCGTGAAGTATTTACGCAGTCTTGAAGGCGCTGAAATGTGTTGCATGCCGACCGTCGCGCCGAGGGTTTCTCCTGTTCATCTCAAGTTCTCGTCATCATTGTTCTCTGCGCCGCGACGTTCCAGGTCAAATTGCGTGTTTGGTTTCTCTCTTAACTCGACTAATTAAAGGTGCTGTCTATTGTATCACCGATGAAAAAATTAGAAATTACTATACTCTCAGGAAATAAGAGATTTTGTCACCTTTTCTCGTTTGTAATTTTTTTCTGAATCCGATTTTTTTTTATATATATACCTATACTTAAAAAAATTGCAAAATTTACCGCCTCCATTATTTGCCGCCATGGACCGCGGCCCATGTGGCCATCCCCTAAATCCGGCCCTGGTGGCTGTAGCGATGATACTATGATCAGGAGTTCCTGGGTTCGATTTCCGGCGTATAGGTGTTTGAGCTTGATGGTCTCTGGGGGAAAGGGGGGTATACCTGGAGGCGGACATAAGGAGACTGGAAAGTTAAGCGAAAGATTAGCCCCTCATAGCTAGAAGAATATTGTTTTTAGAAAGACGATAAAAGAATAAGAGTGCTTATGATGTTGCATCTCGGGCCTATCACTATAATAGGGAAATCCCATTCCTCTTCTGGCATCCACCGGAATTCTAAAGTGCACAATTTAAATTTACTTTTCACCGTGGACCCATTGCCAAACTGGGGGATATTTTCCAACCTTCCTCATAGCATCAGCTGGAATTCAGAGATTGAAATGCACAATTTGACCGGTCTTTCTACCGCGGAAGTCCGCGTCCGGACCACGGTCGCGTCGCGCCGTGAGAATCGTGAGTGACGAGTTGCGATTTTCTTCGGAGTTGCCAGTCAACAAATAAATAAAAAAACGAGCAGTTTATTCCAACTCTGTGCTTAGATACAGCTAGACATTGATTCTTATTTGCAGTAAGTATCAAGTTGATTCGATTGATTGTTGATCTATTGTAAATTGTGAAAGATGCATAGCTATATGGTCCAGTTACACGATCAAATTGAGCCATCAAATTGGGCCTCTCATTGGTCGCACTCAGAATGCGACCAATGAGAGACCCAATTTGATGGCTCGATTTGATCGTGTAACTGGACCTATATACAAATCTTTAAGCGTTCCAACAGAACTAGAGAAAAACTTTTTACGGTCATGGGCGTGAAGTATTGCCTTGTAAATTCAAAGTAAATGTGACAAACTTACAACAGAAAAAAAACCCCGTAAGACCGCTGAAATTTACATCTATTCTTTGTAAGCAAACAGTTATGCTTTTTCTTACTATGTGGACCGTCAGTGATGCGGGATGCCACTGTTTTCTGCAGAAATGGCTGGGTTGTGCTCTCCTGGTATTTTCTTCATTATTTCCCTGATGATCGGTAATACTTTTTATCAGTATAACGCGCGCGCAGATTACAGCAAAAATCACTACATACTGTTTTCATATTCCATAATTGTTGAGTTTCAATCTCTAGATGTTTATATTCCATGCGTTTCTCTGATTCCATCTTTTCAAGGAGCACTTATCTTACGGTCCTATCTGTTTGCAACTGAGGGTTCCAAAAAATGGTAATTTTTTTTTTCTTCCAATTGTTTTTCATGTAATATATTTTTTCAATTTCAATTTTATTTTTTTAAAAACAATTATGTTTATATTTTCTTCTATTACAGGTATTATTTTCTTTTATAATTTTTATATTGTTTACACTTCTGTTTCATTTTTTATATTTTTTTATATTTTGTTTATTTTTTGTAAATTGTTTTTATATTTTTTGTATATTTTTTTCAAATTTTATTTTATTTATTTTTTATTTGGTCAGGTTAATAAATCAAAACTGCACGGTCTATACATTTGGCAACTCATCGACCAGATTATTTTCACACGTCGACTTTATCCTTTTATTGTCCAGCCAGGGTCCTCTCCGCTCTGGACTAAGACCACGGAAAGGTACGCTCGACCTGCAATCAAAGACCGGAAAAGAACTTTTTCTCACATCTGCGTTCCACGTCGTCTCGTTCTTCAGGGGCCCTCCACATAGCGCCGCGCCGCTCACCCACACAGCTAAAAAAACACGCGTTAACCTGTGTTCCTGTCGGTGCAGCTTGATTTATTTTCATCTGCAGGCAGACCCACGCCTCCCCGATCATTGAAGACCAATTTCTCGGCCACTGATGGCTCAAAGAAAACTTTCTTCTCTAAAATGGACCACTTGACGTGGTGAGAAATTAGATGCTAAAGCGCGTGTTTTCTCATTATATCACGCGTCTTATTGTTTTTTACAAATCTAGACCATTCATCACTTTTTAAAGATTATCTGTGACTGACGTGCCTCGAGCTTAAGTCTTATCACACCGTGGACGGTAATTTTGAAAAATAATATTTTCAGAATAACAAATGGGCCTTAGAGTAGATTTTAACGTATTTACGTATTACGTAGGAACCCGAGGCAGGTGGGAAAGAAAGGGTGTGCTCGTTAGTCGAAGGCTGTAAGAATGAATGGGTATCGTTAGGCGCCAGTGACGTCAGCGGCGACGACCGGCTCGATGAACCCACCGATGCCGAATTAACTCATGAGCCCTGCCCACAACGCTCTTATCAAAAGCCCACGGCTCATGAGTACCGCATTCAGTTGGCGCTCATTAGTTCCGTTTAGAGGAATGTAAAATCCCGCTTTTCAATTTCCCCAAAAGGAGTTACGCCCACTTTTACATTATTTTGTGCAGCTCACCTCGAGAACACACCATCGTCCCCACACGTCTCTAGTTCTGTTTACCAGAAATACGTCCATTTACTGTTTTTTTTTTTTTTTTTTTTTTTTTTTTTTTTTTTTTTTTTTTTTTTTTTTTTTNTTTTTTTTTTTTTTTTTTTGAGGGGGGGGGGCACGAGTCGTCACTTCCCGGACGAAGGAAGCTAGTTCCATTCCAAAGGTACAAAATTGACTAAAACAATTCAATGCTTTACGATAATGCGCCCGTGCAATTTTCATCTATATAGTTCCTCTCATTTTTGCAGGTCAGAAGAGACATTAGTGAATTTTTCAGTTACAAATGCCCGAAATTGTCCCGGTAAAAATGCAATCTAGGAAGGACAATTTGGTAACGTTGTGAATTAGTTACGGTTTTTCGTGAGGAAAACCGCGAAGTTTCCTTTAGGTGACAATATCTCATAATCTATCTACCTAGAGTATCTAATTGCTAAAAACTGACTGCGCAACCCTATCACGGAAAGGAACTAAGAATTAATAGATGGTGCAGCATTTCTATGAGCACGACTATCGTCGGATCTCTAATGGCGTGGACACGAACCATACTGCTGATTACCGAAAAAAAAATCATGAATTACTTACAAAGAGGTATGTTGTTTACGTTGCCTTGGATATTCTTATTACTACGCATCAAACTCTATAGGAATAATTCCGAGAACGAACCTGAAACAAAGAAATGATAAAAATAATTTTTGACTCTATGAAAATGAGATGTGCACTTTTAAAATTCGTTTTATTGATTTGCATGCATGGAATATGGGACAATTCAAAAATAATGTTGCCAAGAAAATGGGAGCGCAAAAGTCGAGGGGGACAAGATATCACTCCCAATGAAATTCCAAAGAAAACATTGCAGTTAGGGGGATTCGTTATTATGCCGAGTAGAAGACTCAAAGAACCGTTAAAATTTGGAAATTTTTAGTCACGACGCGACGCATGCGTATTTTTTTCAACCCTACGTCTCCGGACGTCCATACTCCAAATCGTCATGCTTACAGGGTGCAATATCCTCAAAAAGTAGTAATGGTAAAAAGTTTATATTATTCTTGAGCCAACGATAATATATTTGAGATTAGCGTTTACTTTCATTCATAGACTCCAAGGCGAGATTTCGCGCGAAAATCTATACTATAAGCTCCAAGACCTCCTAATTTTGCGAAACTGGTAACGCTTAGTTTCAGCGTTCTACCGGGCCGATTTTCATGATTTTTGCGGTTATCGACGGGCAATTGTCTCTAGATAAGCCAACTCTTTTCAGATTTTCAAAATATGGCCCAGGTTTTTTTATATTACGTGGTAAAGTTGCGAATTCTCTCATTTAAACAATGTAAATTTATACTTTTTGTCATAGTTCGTTTGAGCATTCTACCGGGCTGATTTCCATGATTTTTGCGTAAATCGACAGGTAATAGGCCCTAAATGAGCCCGCTGTAATCAGATTTTGGAAAAAGGACCCAGGTTTTTTGAAAATCACGTTATAAAAGTGAGTGAGTTTATAGAATGCTCCGGTACTGCTACCGCTATGCGCGGGAGGATGCGCAGTGGTCGAGGAGGTTGCGCAGAAGCTGTGTAGCCTGCGCATCAGCTCTACACTTATCTACACAAGATTCGCACCTAAACCCTCACGTCGAGCGGTGACCGAGTCATCTAAGACGTCGAATGCGTCCACTGTGAACTCGGTGTAGGTTCGATACTCGACTCATGAAACCTTAATTATTACCTGACTATCATTGTTCATTGTTTTACTGCAATGTTTCATCAAGCAGTCACTCCAAAACGCGTCCTTTTAATTTGAAAGTAATTTTAAGTAAAGTTTAAAAATAAAGTATACCTCATATCGTAATTGTTTAGGGGAAAAATAAAACTAACACTGATAGGAGGGTAAATATAAGGCCGCGAAGCGGCCCATTGATGGCGCGGAGCGCCTTCAGGGGGTTGGGCCGCGTAGCGGCCAGGGGGCGTAGCCCCCTAGTTTTATCATAAAACACCAGTAACACCCATTGGCATTGTTATACAATGTTTACGGACATTGAGCACTGGACGACGGGAATAAAAGTTTTAGAAAAAAAAACCTCGATGGAACACTGAAGTTTTCAGTCTATATAACCATTTTCAGTCACATGTCACTTTGCTGCAAGTGATTCAGAGTTCGTATTCCATAAAATTCGATTAACTAAAAAAAAGTTCGATTTGTACGACTAAAAACTTCAGATGCCGGGACAGTAAACTTAGGTGTTCTACATGAACCTGAGCTGTATTTCAATCCTTGTAACCGGTGGCGATTAAGTTGGCAAAACTGCTTTCCCTCAATTTGAATGTATGTATAACAATTTATTCATTGTGAAGCAGCTTGCCTCACCTAAAATCGATATTTTCAATGTGTTTAAATTGAGGAGAAACAGTGTTGCCAGCCTGCAAAATCGCTTCTGCTTGTAACCAGAATTTTTGTGGCAGGATATTGAAACAGAGCTTTTACCTGATCCGGTAAATGAAATCCGTTCCCAGACGGGAAACGAAATGCCGCGCCGTAAAATTTGCCTGGGACTCTTATTAACACGTTGGTCGGAAACCTCGGATCCTGGGCATCCTCCGCAAAGTCGATAATTTATCATAGTTCCCGCCAACTGACTCCACAACGTCCATTAGCAGGCTCGAGTGAAATCCCAATGGAGCTGGCTGTATTCACCTCGAGTCTACTTTATCTATTCCCGTCGGGGTGGTAATTAAACGCAGTCCAGTTGGGTCAATGGGTCGAGAGTTCATAAAATCTCTAAGGTCGCACTCACCGTAAATGTACTTGCCGCATGTGTGAGAAGATAGGTCTTGAGATCAGATCAGTTGTTGAAGTGAAGGAGGTTTTGAAAATGTGTTCATCTTATTTCTGTTCAGTGGCGTGGCGTGCTTTGCGATATATCGATTGATACGCCACTCAAATCTATGAAAAAAGATCGATTATTAGGGTGTTCGCAGCGAACACCTTTAGTAATCGATTCTTTGCCATATCTTCAAATGGCGAGATATCGATAGTCGACCATTCACGCCACGCCACTGAATTCTGAATAATCTTTGATATTTGATGGGAACGCAATAAGAAGAGGTTTTGAGAATGTGTTAATCTTATTTCTTTCTAATCTTTGATACGTAGCGGGGATCAATGAGAGGTTCAAAATGTGAAAACTTTTTTTGATGTAGACCGGCTAAAGGGAGACTCGAATTTCGTTCGAATTCGAAAAAAAATAAAGTATGATAGAAAGTTAGCAACATCGCAAACCGAGGTACAAGGTTTTAGAGTTTCACCATCGATATGTTCTTGAAACTGCTGCTCTGCAATATATTTTTTTTTATTTTTTTCATTTTTTTTTTTTAATATCCGGGACATTCCCCTTCTATCTTTATTCAGTATATATTACAAAACAAATATACAAAGAATGGGACGGAATCTGTCCGTAGGCATAGCCCCGTTACTTTGCATTATGTTGTGTTGAAGAGAGATGATGACAAATAGGAACGATACATGTTGTATGAGAGACAGAGATCCGAAGGTACAAATCCGACTGCAGTTCCGATACCAAACCGATTTCGAAAGATGTACAGATACTTCCAAAGTTGAAATTTGTGTGCCGTGTGATAGGAAGGCGAATTAAGCACCTTATGAAGTTTTCTCACGCGAGCCATCGAATTACGAAACGTATACTGACGTCAATGGATCATGCAGGGATAACGAGAACCGAATTTTCTCACAATCGACGTAACTTGAATGTGTGTGTTCGTAAGAGAACAACGAGAAATTGTGGCATCAGAGGAATGTCTTCATCATTCATACCGTCAAGAATGAGAAGTGGATTATCCACTCACAATGACTTGAATTTTGTAGCTTGCCTGCCTTGCCTCACGTTGCCATGTTTTCTGCACTGAAAAAAAAATCTCGGTGTATTTACTAAGAAAAGGGTAAAATTACCCAGAATTCAGGGTTCTATTTGATCCCAGTTTTTTCTTGGTAAAATTACCATTTATGGAATTGGTAATTTTACCGAGAAATCTCGGTAAAATTATTGAACTTTCACGGTAATTTTACTGGACCTTGGTAAAAACGCCAATATTTTTTATCGAATCTGGTAGAATTACCGAGATAAAATGGCAAAATTACCGGGAATTGATTACCAGTAAAAGTGGTATTCTTACCTGAAAAAAAAACAGTAAAAATACAGGTTTTTAGGGAAGCTTATCAGTCTGTCTTGGTAAAATTACCAATAATTGGTAAAAAAGTGAGATGGTAAGGGTACCATCGGACCGTGCGGTAAAGACGGCGAGAATTTTTTTTCAGTGTGACAAATCCTTGGAAGAACCGATGATCAGGAAATAATTTTCAGGCTACTGCAAATACACATTCTGGAGAGGGCAGTTATCATTTGGAGTAGTTGGCGTTTAAAGAGTACAATTCGCGTAAAGTAGTCTTTAAACTTCATCAATGCCCTTCATTCATAATCGACTGCAAAACGAGGGAGCTATGTGCTTTGCAATTATATCGATTGATCTGTTATTTAAATGTTAGAAAAGGATCCATAAACAGGGTGTTCACAACTAACACCTAACCTTAATGGGTTTATAGGTAAAACAGGGCTCCTGTGGAAATAGAGATAAGCCCTTACGTCAAAGGAACGACGATTTGTATTACTAAGCATCAAAACCAAGTCCGAGAAAAAAATGGTGAGCTTTTTCTATAATTTTACAACTTTGTTGAATACGTGTGAGATGATATGATAATAGGTCTCAGGAAGATGTATAATTGGGTGGAATAGTGGTTCTGAAAGTGAGTGTCTAAAGGTATATTTTTCGTTTTGCCACCGAAAAGAGCGCCACTTTCGGTGCTGCTACGGACCCCGAGGGAAGATTTACTACACCTCACAGCCGCGTGATGTATATTTTCATCTCCTACCATCTGTCAAATTTTGACAAGTCAATTTCATGGGTGTTACAGACGCGAGACGCCCGTGGAGGCAAAAAACAGGTGTTTTTTACTTTCAATGGACAAGATATTCTCTTTCATCTTTTGCTCATTCTTGCAAGATTACGGGAATATTTTGAATAGCCAGACTCGGATTGAAGTAATCCTCAAGTATTTGAAATATGCTTTCGCGTGTCCTCTGAATTTCTCAGACGATCTGCGAAATGAGGAACATGCACGAGGAGTCAAAGCTTATTGGAAGGGTAGTGCACATTCATAAAACATTTCCCACCGCATTGTTTCATTGAAATTTTAAAATGTTTTCATTTGCACGGGGGGAGAAAAATGTTGCAAATGCCTATAATTTCAATGCTGCGGTAATCCAAAATTAGCAAAATTTACAGAATTTTATTAAATCCTTCGAATCGAAAATTTGACACTGGTAAAATATTGAAAGTTCGTTACAATGTCATTTGCTTTAAGCTAGTCACAATACGAGAGTGTCCATTCTCGTACCGCTGAGGATCATTGATGATGTTTTAATTTTGATAGGGTAGCCGCAAAATCATTGTTACCAGGTGATGCTGAAAACTCACCACTTTCCCTCTTATCAATCCATGTAAAATATCCACATTCTATCGCACACTGGCAACCCTGCTAAAAATGCATCTAAGTGCGGTCAGTTTCCAAAAGTATCCAAGAGAGACCTCCTCCCTTT